CTTGGAAACAAGTATATACATATGTACATTCATGTAAGCAGAAGAGTGGACCAAGTCCAGGACCTGTGTAGAATAATAAATGTCCTTTTAAGGCTTAGAAACAAACATATACATATGTCCATTCATGTATAGAAACCTACAGGTATATTTGAAAGGTTGATTTCTCAATAATAAATATTCAAACTTTAGTAGCTATTTTTGAAGACTTACTCTGACAGATACAAAATGGTTATCACTGAAGAAGCCTTGATATAATGGACACATTCTCATAGAAAACAAATAGTGTGTAATGACAAATATTTGTATTTATATTTTGTAACAAAAACTCCTGGAAGGTACTGAGCAAATGGCCTAAGATTGTTTTAGGGAGAAGAGGTTTCACTGAGAAGAAGATGGTTTATTTTTATAAATAAATACACCACATATTATAAATATAATACAGATTAATGGAGATAGGTTAAATTAAGATGTATGAGTTATCCAATAAAATGCTAGAGCTAATGGAGAAAGCAGTGATTTAAATAATACAGTATCTGCGTGATTATTTCATGAGTCTGGGAAGCTGGGAAACAAAGAAGCAGCCTTCATACAACAAACTGGCACCAACATGGCTAACTAAATCCACTTAAAATCTTAGAAGGCTTGGAAAGGAATTCTAGACACTAAAAAACAAAGTTTAGCCACATTTAATTACCCAAATGGGCTTGGCTTGCTGGCAGCATGCTATGACTTCTTTAACCTATCTCCATTAAACAAGCCAGTGGGGGTCTCCTATCATTAGACCCCCACTGTCTATAATGTAGTATGTTTATCTCATGGAAGCATCATTCACTCATACTATGCCAGATACAGAGAGCGATTGCAGTAGCAAACATGTAAGGGGACACCAAAAGCAAAAGACATTTCAAGGACGGTACTCTTGTAGCATTTCTTTCTTTCTTTCTTTCTTTCTTTCTTTCTTTCTTTCTTTCTTTCTTTTTTTTTTAATTTTCGAGACAGGGTTTCTCTGTAGCTTTTGGTTCCTGTCCTGGAACTAGCCCTTGTAGACCAGGCTGGCCTCAAACTCACAGAGATCCGCCTGCCTCTGCCTCCCGAGTGCTGGGATTAAAGGCGTGCGCCACCACCTTCCGGCCTCTTGTAGCATTTCTTAAACAGGATTGGCCCATCAAAGAGTTTCCTCCTTGTGAGTTGACATCTTGAACTTCAATCACCACCTGTGTCTCCCCTGACATAGCCACTGGTGGAAGATCACTTGATTCTTTTTAAAGATCTGTTTCAATTGTTAAAACTTCATTTTGAGGAAAAATGTTGGTTTGATGAGTCTGGAGTATAGAAAAATAAAGCTATCTCAAGAGAGGGAACAAGGGTCCTACGGTGCATCTTTGAGTGAGAGTGGCAAGTGCATATCTCCTTGAGGGAATGTGTCATTCCTTGGGACTGAGGTCATTGATTGAGCCTTCTCTCTCACCAGCAACCTTTGTTTTTCTGGATTACCTGGAATATTTCCATTTCCTCCATTATTGAGGACCTCAGAAAACAAATCTAAACATTAAGGAGAGTTTGTCTGCTTTTGTAATTTCCTCCTAATTTCTGGATTTAGGCATCTGGCAGTACCTGACCTTAAGAATTTTGATAATATTTAAGTGTAGATAACTTGGTTATAACTAAATATCTCTAATTTTTAACTCCTATAAGACTGCCTCTGTTTCCATCTGGTGTTGGATGAAGGTTCTATGGTGATATTTAAGATAATCATCAGTCTGACTACAGGGGCAAGGCCAATTTGGGCACCCTCTCCTCTATTGCTTAGGGTCTTATCTGGGGTCATCCTTGTGGATTCCTGGGAATTTTTTTACAGCCAAGTCTCTTGCTAACCCCATAATGGCTCCCTCAATCTAGATATATCTTTCCTTCCTCTCATATCTGTCCTTCCTCCATTTCGACTATCCCATTCCCTCAAGTTCTCCTCAACCCTCCCCTTCTTCCCTCCTCTTCCTCTTCTCCCCTTCCTTCTACCCACTGCTTCCATGCTCCCAGTTTTGTCAGGCAATCTTCCTGTTTCCAATCTCCAGGTGGGTATGTATATATATATGATTTGGTTTGGGTTCGCCTTATTACTTAGCTTCTCTAGGATCATGGACTATAGGCTCAATGTCGTTTATTTATGACTAGTATCCACTTATGAGTGAGTACATACCATATTCATTATTTTGGGTCTAGGTTACCTCACTCAGGATAATATTTTCTAATTCCATCCATTTGCATGCAAAATTCAAGATGTCATTGTTTTTTTTTTTTTTTTTTTTTACCACTGAGTAGTACTCTAATGTGTAAATGTGCCACACTTTCTTAATCCATTCTTCAGTTGAAGGGCATCTAGGTTGTTTCCAGGTTCTGGCTATTACAAACAATGCTGCTGTGAGCATAGTTGAACAAATACTTTTGCAGTATGACTGAGCATCTTTTGGGTATATTCCCAAGAGTGGTATTGCTCGATCCAGACATAGGTTAATTCCCAATTTTCTGAGAAACTGCCATAATAATTCTAAAGTGGTTGCACAAGTTTGCATTCCCACCAGCAATGGATGAGTGCTTGCATAACTGGATGTCAACATGTAGAAGAATGAAAATGGATCCATATCTATCATCATGCACAAAACTCAAGTCCAAATGGATTAAAGACCTCAATATAAATCCACCCACACTGAACTTGATAGAAGAGAAAGTGGGAAGTAGCCTTCAATGCATGGGCACAGGAAACTACTTCCTAAATATAACACCAGTAGCACAGACACTGAGAGCGACAATAAACAAATGGAACCTCCTGAAACTGAAAAGCTTCTGTAAAGCAAAGGGCACAGTCAAAAAGACAAAAAGGCAGCCTACTGAATGGGAAAAGATATTCACCAACCCCTCATTAGACAAAGGACTGATCTCCAAAATATATAAAGAACTCAATAAAATAGACAGTAAAATTCTAAATAACCCAATTTTAAAAATGGGGTACTAAACTAAACAGAGAATTCTCAACAGAAGAATTTCAAATAGCCAAAAGATACTTAAGGAAATGTTCAACTTCCTTAGTTATCAAGGAAATGCAAA